TTCTACATAAGAAAATGCCTGTACCAAGTCAGGAATATGACAGTTGTTATCCATTCGTTTGATGTGTTTGGTTTTTTTTTTTATTTTGCCATTTGATTGTGGACATTCCTTTTTAAATTTTCCTCGGAGTTCAGTATTTTTGTGATTTTACTTTTTAGATGGTGCATTTTAATTGTAAAAGGGTTTATTTTTGTTTGTAAACCTAGCATATCTATTGTTCAATTCGCCGGTTTAGTCGAGCAATAAACAAAAACAAAACTGGTGAACTGAAAAAATAAGATTAACAGTAAGGAACATGAATATTAGCGAACACCAGAGCTAAACCCAAGATAATGAAAGTTAACAAGTTTCTATTTAAGGTGACGATGTAACTATGTAGCAAAAGTAATAAACAAAATGCATCGAAATTTCTTTTTAACCACTAAATTATAGATGAGACAAGTTTTATTTGATGACATCCTAAGTTTGTGAGAAACTATAAAAGTCGTGCAAAAAATAGACCAACACCTACTGACGGTTGAAATGGTGTTTTGCATCGCTGACTAAGCTTATTTGGCTTTGATGCTAACTAACGATTTATGTGTTTTGCTTCGTAAACTTCAAACTCGAACGTATCAAATGAAGGTTATATGCTTCGAACGCATGACATTTATAAAGTGTTGTTTCATTTTTTATTTCAGAAGCACGTATAAATCCGTAGAACACATCAATAATTTTTAATTCAAAATGAATTATAGAAATTCAAAATAATTTGAAAAGTTATTAATATAACTTAGAAGTCGACCAGTTTCTTACAAATATTAAATAAGTTATAGTTATTTAACAAGCAAATCGATATGGGTGACCCTACTTGACCCGAACGAAGTAGACTTAAAGGGTCATCCTGATCGTGCTGATTAAATGATATACAGCATATTGATTGGTCAATAACTGTTTTAGCACATGACGCCATCAATTTATATGAACGTTTTGGAAATATGCGAACGATTTATTCAATCCACGACACCTGGAAAAGTTCTCTTGTAGTGTAAAAAAGGGAAAATAGTAAAAGTTTGGTAACTTTTAAATTATGAACTTTTTTTGATATTTAGGGTTTCTCCTAAAATGTTATATTATTTGGAGAATTGCGTTTTAATGGCAGATCTTTGATTGTTTTTGTTCAATTTATCAACATTTTTTTTATGAATTCGTGACTTTTTAGAACTTGACATATTGTTTAGCTTAAGACACCTGTCTACTGTTAAAAACTATATGTTGCTCTCTAGATGTCCTTATGTTATTTTGGCGTTAGATTGCTGTCTTATGGACGTATATCCCAAATCTCCTACAATTTTAGTTCCGTTTGATGTACTTTTAAATCGGTTTATGACAAATCATAACTGAAAGGGTTATTGAGTATAGATCAATTGTTTTTCTTTACCTCAAGAATATGCTCAGAGGAAGATTAATCAAGAGGAATGTACCTGAATTTATAGTGTAAAGTAAACAGAAAAAAAATTCACTTAACAACCTTTAACAACCACCCCCTTTCAATTTTTCTCCTGTATTAATTTTGAAGACATGTCACATCTAAACGAAGTCTGACTGATCTGCAACTTATATTTTTCCCTGTTTTGGCACATACTTAAATATGAATTTTTTAACCTCATTAAATTCGATCCCAAATCCCCAAAAACAGTCACTAAAAATAAATAGATATTTAAAAAGTCAGGCGTAATAAATTCCATTGAGCACAAAACTAATCCAAATCAGATTTCAATAATTTGGATATTCTTAAATACATTTATTTTTTGGCAGAAATAACGACGAAGTGTGTACAAAATTGTTAATTGAACAACTATGTCGTAATAGCAAGGCCAGTTGCGGATTCAGACGGGGGCGAAGAGGGCATACCCCCCTTTTGATTGGAAATTTTATCATTTCTCAGCATAAAATCGTCAAACTCGGCGGTATTCTTCCATTTTATAGAACGCACCCCTTTTGAAAAGTCCTAGATCCGCCCCTATAGGTAAGAGTACATTTAAACTGAGCAGTATATCTGAGGTAGTTAATGCACACCCTTAAGTTAGCTGTGTATTATCCAGATTATACCACAGTAAGAGCAAAGAGATTTTGCCTATGTCATGTGTTAATAAAAGGTAATGTACCGATTCGGAAGTCAGTTGATAAATCGTCAGTCCAGCTACAAACAGACTAGCATTTGAGTAAAACACATGAACTCTGCATCAGTGAGACCAAAAGAGTCTACAAGGAAATTAATCTCTATTTAGCAGCATTCATTACCCATCATTGTGCGTTGATTTTTCCAACATACATATATATTAAAAAGGATTATTGCATGAAAGTAAAATCGTCATTATATTGGAAGTGAAATTAAAGGAATAGAACAAGTCGGCTAGTGTGGCGAACAGTTATCTATAGATGAACCTGATTTATTTATTAGTTGAATTAGCTTTCACATATTGCAAGTATTTTTTATCGGTGCTCTGTGTCTATTGTTATATGTTATTTTTTTTTGTGCTTCGTACTGATCTTTTTAGTTAAGCCATTTGCAAATGATTTCATAGTTTGTTCTTATATTGCTCTGCTACACCACTTTCGTTGGGTAAGGGGAGGGTTGAGCGCTCACAAACATTTTTAAACCCGCCAGACTCTTTAAATGACGGTCCCAAGTCAGAAGCCCGTAATTAAGTTGTTGTCGTTGGTTAATGTCTGTGGTATTTGTTTTTCATTACTTGCAATGTTATTAATTAGGTTATTGGTTTTCTCGTTTAATTTTAAAAACAGGCTATAACAAACCTATTACTTCTTCAAAGAGTTATTACCCTTAATCAAGGTCTGTCTCCTTATGAGGAGGGCTAGAAATGTAGCTTTCAGCAGATCGAACTTTTGATATTGTTGCAATATTTTAGTGACTGTAATGAGAGACATTCTACTACGTCTGTAGACTTTCTATGATTGTATGAAAAATCAGTTTGTTAGTCCGTTAAATTCTGCTATTTTTTTTTATATATTTGAAGTGGTAAACAATGAGCTGTATTAACTACAGAAAACAATGAATATATATTGTGTAGTAGATGCATTTTTGAGACACCTATTGGTAGTTGTTTTACGGGTGCCACATGTGGAGCAGGATCTGCTCACCTTAAGATCATCTCGATTTTTTGTGGGTTTGTGTTTCTTAAGTTTTCTATGTTGTATTTTTAGACGGCTGTTTGTCTTTCCGTCTTTTTTTCTTTCTTATCTTTGTCAGTTTTTATTCGACTTATGAGTTTGAGTATTCTTTTCGTTTCTTCCTCCTCTCATATATATATATTAATATTAATGGTACTTATTTTACTGCACCAGATGTGCCAATCTCTGGCGCAGAGCTCACATACGGATATTGCAGATGTGCATTTCGACAATTAATGACTCTTCTTCGATGCAACTTGTATTTCAGTGAACTATAGCACCTATTCAAAAAAATACTATACTAGTCAACAAAAGTAACGATACAAAAGTTTGAACTCCAATTTATCATAAAATGTAATAAATAGGAAAAACTGTTAAATTATCCAATGAAAAACATTCATTTGCAAAGCAAATGCATATGCATATGATTAAAAGAATCTGACCAAACTAGAAAGTGAGAAAATACAGTGTTATTGAACACAGGGGTCAAATTTATTTTGCTGAAAATGATGACAAAAGTCGGCACTTAATTTCGAAGATGAGAACTAAGTATTTTAATATCTGCAAAGGCATTCAAAATTTTAAGCAGACCTTTAAGTTTAAAGTTTTGAGTTCTGATATCGAGTTTTGAATTATTGGGTGAAAATACGATTTTTGAAATAACAAATATTGCAAAAAAAAAGATTTCGCGTATTTGCCTTAAATTAATGGTTTTGATAAGAAAATAACACTCTGTAAATATTAGACCAATTGAGCAATTATTTACCTTGGTACAGTGTATCCAATTTCATTATATATGGAAGATACATTGCCTTGTATCGTTTCTTTTGTTGACTAGTGTATAACATATGAATACCTAAGACGTCTGAACTCTGAACTACTATCATTTAAATATGAGTAAAAAGAGTGGTCGTTTATAGGTCGATGTAATAACCCTAGACACAATAAAACCAAATGTATACTCTAGCAAACAAGTGTCTATACAATATATGTAAAAGATGCACATGGTTCTGGAATAAACTTTTTCACGCATGTTGGTGGCCACAAATTTGAAAAAAAAAGCATAAATAAGTACTGGGCGGATGATATCATCGGGAACCAAGATTCTACCAATAGAGGTACCTGTATATCGTCTAGAAATCCGTAATATATTTAAGAGTATAAATTTACCAAAAAGTCGGTCATCGCCACATTTTTTAACTAGCATAAAGACACACACAGTAATAAAAAAGAGAAATGTCTGATGAGGTTTCTGCCGTTGGAAAGTCAAGTTAACATACAGCGGGGTAAAGCATTATTTTGAGCCCTAAAAATTTCCTCTTTTAGCGTTATGAGCTGAATAGCAAAGGGTACACAGAAAAAAAGAATCGATTATATCAGATCATGTTCAAAGCACTCAACACACATGTAATAAATACTTTATGCAACGTGCGAATAAAGGCGATGTTGGGTATACATCAATGAGACACCAAAAAAAAAGACAAAAATAACATAAAGACATGATCACCTGTATCTTTCTTCTAGAAAATGTCTAGGCGAATTCAGAACTATGATATAGTCTATAGTTCATTTGGTAGCATTTTCTTTTATTGCATTTCTGGTTTTGCTATCCTTATTAACGCTGTTAGGTACTCTAGGTTGAATGGTTGCGACAACTGTTATTTTCTTAATGGTGCATTTATGGATGAACAAACAAGGAAAATGCTGCTCTCAATTTATTATGATCAAATGTTTTTACAAAAAAATAATAAACGAAAAAATAAATAAAAAAACAAAAGTTAACAATTAACAAATAATCAACAAAACAAAAGTTAATCTCATTCTGTAAAAGTTCTATATTTAACGGCATTTATTTTGGACTTGCCAAGAGTTGGCAAGTGCGTATGCATCAGATGTGATCTGTTTGTTAGACATCATCATGTCGTCAAATCTCTCGTTGTCATGGACACCAAGCATGCCACCTGTTCTACCATGGAACCAATGGCTCAGTTCAATGTCATATGACGATGATTTTATGTTGTTGACCACACCAAAACCAGTTCCATCGACGTAAATGTTGTCTCCTACTTGTGAAATTTTTATCTCGTCTGAAGCATATGGAAGTTTACTCTCTACTCCATCAACACGGACCTGAAAAGAATAAAACATCAGAAATAATAATAAATGCTAAGAGGATAATCATTCGCTGTTCTTCTAAAGACAGAACAAATTCTTAAAAGGAGAGAAAACACGTTTAATTAATTGTGTATACATTTTTGTAATCGAAAATTACATCTTAGTTTTAACAAAGTTATATAAACTCATGAACGATTAGCAAAAGACACTTACATACAGAAAAGAAGAGATCGTATGGGGTAAAATTTATTTACTTTCTCGGATGAAGTTTGTAAAATGAAATGCAACTCTTAAAGTTTAAGCAAACTAGTCATTCAAGAGTCAAAGAATGTTTACCTTTCCATTTGAAGCCACTTGAACATTTTGTGTGGAGGTCATGACAACCAATTTTTTGCTCTGTCTTCCCATGTAATTAAGAATGATGCTGAACTTGTCTTTGCCAAAGTCACGTGCCAGGACATAACTGCATCTTCCATTGAAATCAAATTCTTGTCCATCAAAGGTAATGAAATGATCTCCCTTGATGTGAGCATGGGCTGAAACATATTCAATTAATTTGGTATACATTTTTGTAAATGAAATCGTGATAATATACTTATCACCTATCAATTGTAGTATAAATTTACAAATTTAATAATACAACTCAACTTGCCTATTATTTTTTGTTGGTTTCTTTTTCTTTTTAGGTAAATTTAGAAAGACATATCCATTAGTATATTTTCGTATATTTGAGTTTGATAATAGCATAGAATTCAATAATTCATAATCTATTGGGAATTCTTAAAACGATCACCTCAAAAAGAATGCAACATACATGAAAAAGGAAGTATAAGTCAGAAATTAAATACATACATGTGTTAAGCATCGTCTTTCTAACATTTAACATAAGGCTTAGTCATTTAGAACATTAAACTCTAAATGTAGTTTGGGAAAATTCATTGATCGTATTGTTAACAAATATTTCATTTAAATATAAAGGCAAAATCTATATATTTTACTCACCACCAAACGATGGAATAACTGCATGAGACCATATATTGTTCCAGGATGAAAGTGGGTTAGATTGTGGAATGTAAGATCTGAGATTCTCAATTTGATTGGTTATCCGTTTTACTTCTGTTAAAGATTTCATTTCCAGAGGAAGATAAATGTCCATTTCAAAGTGACCTTTCTTTGGGTCATATACTGTGACTTTTGTTTTCTTAACATCAGTAATTAAGTCTTTGATATTACTGAATTCGTCTCCAATGTCTTTTTTAATAAAATTGACGAATTTGATAAAAACAGATCTGATGTTTTCTTCAATTTCCCAGTACTTATATGCCGATGAAGCCTGGAAAGAATATAAGAAGCATTCAGTTACCTCGTAGTTTATCGAATTTACATTTCAGTACAATAAAGGATTGTCAACTAAGAAAAATAATTTATCAAGAGTTCAACAAAAAAAAAGATTTCTTTAAATTGAAGTAAAATATAATCTTTGCTGACAAACATTATGAGCATTTTTAGCCGTGAAAATAAACTGTCATGATATTAATTTGATGGTGTCTACATGTTAGATATCGAAGGATGGATTTGAGATGTATAACTCACCATATGATATACTGGGGTTGGAAGTGTTTTTATTAACCCAGTATTGATAGATTCTCTTGCATTGTAGATGACTGTATTGTATCTGTCGGCCATTTGTTTCAGTGGAATTGTTGGTAATCTTGAACGAACTGTTTCCAAAATTTTGTTACTTGAGATAGATGCAACCGAATCTGAAAAGATAAATTAGAACTTGTTTTCATTTGAAACTACATTGAATCGTAGAACAGTTTTTAAATTGGACATCAGCATTTTTATTTTCTCTTTACATCTTTCTCTACTGTATATAAGGTTTAATTTATGATTTCAATTTAAAGAATGCTTAAATAGTATCTGAGATTCACATCTTGAGTATTATATCTTCATTGACGTTGGTGTAACTTTGAAAAAAAATACGTAAATTTACTTCCTAATATTTGTTTTATGTATACCTGTTACATGTTTTCCATATTTGGTATATACACCTTCAATGGTGTTTGACAGCTGTGTTGTCTGTGATTGTATGGAATCTAAAACTTCAGTGTAGTACTGTAATGACATGTCTTCCATCACCTGTAATAAAATTAAACTATTAATGTGTTTTACTTTTAAAAGAAAAAAAATAGATTTCATAAAGTAGGTTGATACACTTCATTGATGGTTTTCTAGTAAAATATTACTGTTCATAGTTGTTTTTGTAGTGACATGTTTAAGTAATTACAATACGATAAAACATAAACGCTATAAAACAATATGATAATGCAAAACCTTATTCCTTTAGTGCCCTTTTTCATTATCTTAACAAAAAATGATATTTCTTTGAATGGTATACCAATGTCGAAAAGTGAAAATTATATTCAATTATTTATATTTAGAGGAATCTACCGTAGTATACCATTGAAAAAGAGTAAATATCATTTTGATTTCATTTGGTACAGGCATTGTGAGTGTAAATTATCGACATCATAATGTACAAAAAAACGACACCATGATGTACAAAAAACTTGATGCATCGCATTAACTCGCCGCACAAGGTTTAAAGGGTTTCAACATTCCAATCAATCGTGACCTTGTGTACTTGTGTGTGCACTCGATATCTACTCTGTTGGCAGTGAACCAAAAGTCGAAACACAATATAAATAGGATGATCCCTTCAAAATAAACACAAATAATAGAATTCAGTCTCGTAGTACATATCATCTTTATAATTTTTATCTGTTACATTTCTTCACGCATACGGTAATGAAATTTCGTTTACCATGAAGGCCAAATTGTACGATCAAGAACAATTAGTATTGCTCCTGTTATTATCCATCTGAAAACTGTTGAGAATACAACTCTTTTCATTATTACCTACCAAAATAATACGAAATATGTATTCGCTTTGCTCAGCGACGAAAGATAACAGTAATTATCATACCTTTATCAATTCAGTAATTTCAGCAAGATACAAATTATAAAGTGTCCAGTCCATATCTCTTGTTAAACTGTTGATTTCATTTTGAAGGGATTTCATCTGATGCCTTCAACAATAAAACAAATTGTCAGTATGATAATTAAACATTTTTCATAGAAATTAAAAGTGTTCAACTACTTTAGCTCATTTTGGATTTACTTAAATTTGTGTTTACGCTCTTTTCTAGTGGGTTTGAGAACTCTCTACATTTCTTTTTAAATAACCATTCAGCATTCATACTTTTGGTATTTCTGTGAAAAATATTTTTATTGTTATACTAAAACGTTTATTTTGTTTTATATTTAAAGAAATTACAAAATTTTGAATTTCAATAAAAGTGAACATTTACGAATCAAAATTGCAGAACAATGTTTATAAAGATAATCATTTGTTTTTAAATACCTGATAACATTTTGTGTTGTTTGGAAATTTCCTACGATATCATTTAAGTAGAAATCATTATTGCGTCTCATTTTTTGAAGTTCGGTAACTCTAGCTGACATAAAATTGATGTATGGTTTCATGTCTTCTTTAATAGCAGATATGATCAATCTGTGTTTGGCTTGAACCTCCTCTTCTACAGCAACCCATGATGTTTGCAGTGCTTTGTTGATGCCATTGCCATACTTATGAATCTTGTTCAATCCAACAGACTACAAAATTCAAAAATAAAACATAATGCTTTACTTAAACAACGAACGTATCATTTCCAAGAAGAATAATGCAAAAATTAAAAGAATTTTTTTAATTAATTTGCTTCAATATGATTTCTATATTCATAACTGTAATATTGTTTGAATTGCTCATTGGTTTGGTTTGTATATTTTATAAATTCTATCTTGACAAATTACTGATGTAAAAATACATATGTTTTGCTTTAATTTGTAATTAAGTAATCAATTGTTTGACACTTGTGAGTTTTTTGCCTTCACTTTTATTCTTTAACAAACCTTGACGGTTTTCAAAAGATCAGGGTTCCAGTGTACACGTGTATGGAGTATTTTGGAAGTCTTCAGTTTCAGGTTGATCAATGTATCGGAAACTCTCTTACTGTCCACATCTCTGAAAACTTCGGCAGTGAGTCCACTTTCATCTGACATTTTAGCATTCACATGAAGGATGTTTTGTGGATTGTCTGAAACAATATCAGGGTAAAATCATAAATGCTGCACATGTTAATGGTTTTTGTAACTTTGATATTGAAGAAGTATACCTTTCTTACATTGAGCTCAATCCGAATGCTACATATTTTTATCATGAACTATTTCTATGATAAGTACACAGATCATTATCTCTAATCGTCATATAAAAGGTTGAGATTTACAGATGTAGTACCCCGAATTAATTGAACAGACTACGTGCTTTGTTATAACTGTCATCAAATACATGTTTACCCAAGTTTGCGAATTAGAAACATAGAAAGCTTTTCTGTTTAGCAAAAAGAAAGTTGCAACATTTGCTTTGAAAAAAATACCTTGCTTATAGAAGCTGCAATCTTTACTATTAAAAACAGACTTTGCCTATAAAAAAATGAAATCTTTGTAATTAAAAAACATAATCAGTTGCAACCTTAGTTGATAAAAAATTAACTTATTAGTATATATATATTGATATCGATTTGGCCAGCTTTTGTTTCTTACCAATATCATAGTTCATGTTGACATCAATACTGACATCGGATGGGTCAAAGACAATATCTGCACTGACTGGTTTGACATTTTCATACAAGTTCTTTATTGACACTTTGTATGGAGCCGTAGTTTGTACACTGCCTTGGATATTGATTGATTTAATAGGCGTGGTCAGCTGTAAATGAATATGAATGTCCTTTTAATACACGTATTCTGATAAAGCATATCATTCCTATAGAGTATTACATTTGCAAACAAATCTCAAATTTTACTCTAAATATAACATAGATTTTTTTAAAGGTTTGTGGCTATTTCTTTTATTATTAAATGTATTTTGTTATATTAATTCTCTGAAATTATTAATCTTTCATGGACTTTAAAATGTTTTCTCTGTTAATAAGTCTTCGAGTTCCGCCCTTTTGCTGACCTCGTTTCTTCTTTCTTAATTCAAATAATTCTCCATTGAATTTTGTGTTTTTACAAATTACAAACTACTACTGATTATTCGGGTGTCATATAGTATTGTAAATAACGCTTTTTTGTTTATGATTCATACCCAAATATGACAGTAAAATAATAACTTACATCCATCTTGATGCTTTTCTTTAAGCTATCGATTTCTCCCATTATTCCAAAGTTCTTTGCCATTTTGTTTGCTGTTTGGTATTTAACATCGACAGAAGCCATCTTTTTGTAAACTGATGATTCTAGGAGTGAAGTTACTTCAACGTCAACAGTAGTATACGGATGTTTGATTCCTAGGTTAAAGCTGTAGTTAGTGTCAGTACCGGATGAAAGATCTTCCAGTCGTGAGGAAAGAATAAGTGTCTTCCTTGAATCTTTGGAATACTGGAATTCAGTTTTACCATCAAACAGAACAGATCCCTTGTTGAATTTCACCTTGGAATCAAGCTTTACATCCTATTTATGAAACAGTAAATGAACATCGGTTAATGATTAAAAAACAAAAATATGAGACTTATCCATAGAAAATAGACTAAATATATTAGGGTTTTTTTTCGTAATGACCCGGAAAAAGTTTTTTTTTTAATTTAACATCCATCGATAAGAATAAGATTCTTTATAAAATGTTTCTTTCCACTTGATAATCAGGGGTGGTAAGAAAATACGATTACAGAAATTGAACAATTCAATTAGTCATTGATTAAGTTATCTGAGAATTACTTAAAATATTTCATTACCTGTCCAATACTTGGCATTTCGAGAACAACATTGGCATCTACACCATTTTCACTAGGAGTTATATCCCCTTTAACAGATACTTTTTTTGTCTGGTCACCATCAGCATCCCAATAGAAGGCACCAGTTACCATTTTAGATCCAAGACGGTTTTGAATTTCGTTTGTTAACATGAAAGATCTGTTTGGGAAACGGAATTTCATACTAGTATCTCTGTCATCATTGCCGTGTTTACAGTCATAGGTATATCCAAATACATTGGCATCATCTACGTTTACATCAAGCGAAATTAAGTTATGACTTGTTGAACGTTTTAATTCTCCTCTAAATCCAATGGTTTTTGACGGATGTACAAATCTAAGTGCTAAGTTACACTTATTATTGCTATGACTATAAAAGGCTTCCATGTTCATATTGCTGTCTGTTTTGTCTGTATTCCAGTTTAAGCTGATATCACTGTTCATCTTCTCGGCTTCCATGTTACCTCCAATTCTGAAGTTCATAGGTCTAGGGTGTCTTGTTACTATGGTTACTGTGTGATGCTCAATATTTGAATAAGATGTGTCAATATCTAGCAGAGGTTTCCCGTTGTATTCCAAGAATACCGATTGCATGTAGTTACCAGTAGAATATTTATGTCCCATATTGACAGTTATAGTTTTAAGGGCTTCGAAAGGTGTAGAAATTGACATTGATGTCTTGATATGCTTTCCACTAGATATCTTCGAAACATCACAGGAAGCATCCAATGTAATGGTCTTTTCTCTATTCCACGAGGTTTCAACATGTGTTTGGTATTCATTTCTGTGTTTCTTGTTGACAAATGAAACACTCAATCGTTCGAAGGACTTAAAACCTGTGGTAAGAATTGCAGTGGTTTCCATGTCCGAAAGAGAATCGTAACGGAGATGAACTTCGGAATTGATTGGTTTAATCAATGGAGTGACAATTTCGATTGTGGCGCGCAAATCTTTGATGTCTCCTGTACATGATAGATTGATCTCGGAAGATTCAAGTCCCTTAAATGGAGTCTTCAACTCGATTCTGGTTGTCATTGGTCTGCTTTTTAAGTCTACTAAACCAGATAGTTTAACGGATTTCTTATTCATTTCAAAAGAAGTGTCTAAACTGTATATCATATTTTGTCTTTCTAAGTTTCCCTTTAGAGACAATGATCGAAATGCTTGAAACGGAGTCCTGACATCCATGTTGAACGATCTTGGTGACAGTTTAACATCGCCAGTAATTTGTATTCCAGTTGAGCATTCGTAGTTTGAAAATACAGACAAGACCTGGTCAGTCCCGTGCCTGTATACCCATCTCATCAACTCGTGTCCTTTCACTGGAGTTTTTACTTCTGCTTTTATATCCATCTTTCTGAAGTTCTGGTTGAGATAATTAAGACTCATTTCGTATACCTTTTCCGGGGAAAGTGCAACAACAGCTGATGTGCTGACATAATTTGATTTACGAACATTTTTTACCGTAGCTGACATTGATTTAGCTGATTTGAAAGGCGTTTCTACCTTAATCGATGCCTCATAAGATGGTTGACTTTTCAGTATGGTTTCTACAGAGATTTCATCATTATCAATTTTTGCACTTATTTTAGAAGTGAAATCGCTGAAGCTTCTTCCACTTTTTAATTCTATTTCAGCGGTTTTTGTGATACCAACAATGTTGACATTTAATGTTGATTTTACCTCTCCCATTTGTCTACCTTGAATGTTGGTCATCGTGTTCGACGAAATTTGGTTGTTACTTCCAACGGAGGCACTAAACGAGGATGAAGACTTTGTTAAACTTCCAGAGATGTCATACTTGATGTCAATGTCTTCTATAATTGCTGTTTTTAGTTCAAGACTTCCTTGTAAATTACTTGTTGAGGAGATATGCTCAAAACTAAGGTCATACATGTTTTGACCTTCAATAGCGAAATCAGATGTGAGACGAAAATTTGAAGGATTGTTGTTGAAAACTACGTTCATTGACATTTCGGTTAATCCACTGACTGGAGTTTTGATATTAATTTTTCCATTGAATGGTGAAGTCTTATCAAAAACTCCATTCAATTCTACATTGTTAGATCCAACGTTCCCATTGACTTGTGTCGTAATTGTATCCCTGTCAGTTTCGTATAAGAAATTAGCTGCAATCTTCTCGTATCCTGCAACTGGAGTCTCTAGTGTAATTTTGGCGTCTATTCCATTGTATGTAACAATTGAGAATCCCCCATTGACATTTTTAGAGTTGTATATAGCATTCAAATTCGCGACAAATTGGTTTTCTCCCATTCTTCTTGTCAAACTGAAACTGCTGTCATGGACAATATTTCCTGTGAGTTTAATCAGTAATGATCCAATTAAATTGTTTCGGTTTATTTTTGCAGTAGACATTAGTTCAATGTCGTCAGTAAGTGGTGAAATTGCAGCTACTTTAACCTTGTATTCATCAGAGTACTCAACAAGGATGTCAATAGATCCTTTCTGGTTGTCGACTGATATTTCAACTGCAGTACCTACTTTGGAATCAGTCATGATCATATTGAATTTTGAAGTCATAACATGGGTCTTGTCGCCATATGATAGTTCTACATTTGAGCTAAATCTTTGAACTGTTCCTTCTAAAGATATTTTCACAAATGCATCTAAGGTGAATGGTGATTTGAAAGTCATTTGAGCGTTCTTGTTGTCTTTTACGTCATATGAACCATCAAACGAAAATTCTTCGCCGTTGTAGGACGCAGAGATAGCATTTGAAAGTCTCTTCATTTCACCAGTTGTTGTATGTCTAATATTTACTTCATGTTGACGAGAGCCTTTGTAATCCAGCTGAAGTTGAGCAGTGAAATCTTTTGGTTCTCCGTTGTATTTTACAATTGTAGTAATGTCTTCGGTCCATGGTGATTTAACAACCATACTTCCATCAATTCCAGATGATGTGTCAATAGAAATGTCTCCGGATACTGTTTTATCATTGTAACTTGCCTCGGTGTTTGCCTTGATACCTGTTGATTTCTTGATTAACTTGTAGCTTACTCTTGCGTTTTGTTGCAATGCGCCATTGTAGGTGATTTTTACCAAGGACATAAAGTTTTTCCAGTTACCTTTGTGGGAGATCGCAATGATAACGTCATTATACATTGGTGTTTTCAAGGTGATCTTTCCAATAATGTCTTTTCTAGAATCAAGAGTTACCTCAAAGGAAGCTGTTTTGTCATTGTATTTCACTGAAGCCAGTGTAAAGAACTTTCTGACTGATCCATCCAAACTGAATGAAACACTGGTATCGTGCTTTAGAGAACCACTGTAGGTAATTTTAAGACAGGTTTTGAAATTTTGTATAGATCCCTCATTTGAAAAAGCTACAATGATATCATTGGTCCATGGTGTTGTGACTGTTATTCTGCCTTCAAGAATGTTTGTTGTATCAAAACTTACTGCAGTAGATACCATTTTGTTGTTGTAGGTAAAAACTGATTTAGTTGTAAACCTAACCAATGTTCCATCCATATTAAAGATTAGACTTGCATCATGCTGCAATTCTCCACTGTAAGTAACTTTAAGACAGGTTTTGAAATTATTCCCCGTGTTTTCGTGTGAGAAAGCCAAAATCATGTCCTCGGTAAATGGCGATTTCAAAGTAACTTTCCCTTCAATATCCTTGGTTGCATCAAAATTTACATCGAAGGATACCATTTTGCTGTTATACATTAAAGATGATTTTGTTCCAAACTGCATCATTGATCCATCAAAGTTAAATTTAATGCTGGCATCATGTTGTAATTTTCCTTTGTAGGTGATTTTGAGACAAGTTTTGAAATTCCTTACGGATCCCTCGTTTGAAACTGCTACAATTATGTCATCTGCAATAGGAGTTTTTAGTACTAATTTACCTTCAATGTCTTTAATAGCATCAAATATAAGTTCACCTGATGTGGTTTTACCATTGTATGTTAAAGCGCCTTTAGTGTTAAAATTCATCATTGATCCGGCATGATTGAATGTTATGAGAACATCGTGTTGCATTGATCCACTGTAAGAAATTTTGGCAATGCTCCTGAATGTCAATGGTGTTCCATTATGGGAGAAAGTGACAATTATGTCATCAGTCATAGGTGACTTCAATGTCACTGTTCCTGTTATATCACTAGTAGCATCAAAGGAAATGTCTGCAGATATTCTCTTGCCATTGTAACTAATCTGACCATTACTAGATAATTTCTTGTATGACCCTTCGTGGTTAAATGATGCCTGAATGTCATGAGATTTCTTTCCGTATGACATCGAAGCAGCTGATTTAAAAGCAGTTGGCATCTGTCCTTGATGGTTGAAGGAAAGGAGGAAGTCGGACGTAAATGGTGTTTTCAATGAAAATTGTCCATTTATTATTCTCAGAGACTGGAATTGTAATTCAGCCATTATTTTCTGGTTGTTGTATTTGGCCTCTGCTGCAGATTTGAAGTTTCTCATACCACCGTCAAAGTCAAACTTTCCTGAAGCTGATTTTCCGTTGTAGGTAACTTGTGCATTTGATTTCAGAGATTTTTGTTCCTTTACTGCAGAGAAGGTGACTTCTAATTCATGTTGTTTAGCTCCACTGTATGATAATTGAGAAAGTGATCGTAAGTCTTTAAAATCGTAGTTAGAGGACGTAGCAAAGATCACTTCTTCTGAAAATGGAGTTTTGAGGGATGCGTCAATTTGTACTCCATTGGTCAGATCAGTTGTGATTTGTCCAGTTATTTTGTCATATCCATATGATACTTCAGAAGATGATTTAAAACTGTCCCTTGTACCATCATGGTTCATTCTAAAGACGAAGTCTTTAGTAAATGGAGATTTCATAGAACTTCTAATGTCAAGACGATCATTGACAATGACTGTCAGATCGGCTTCAGCCATTTGTTCGTTTACTGTCATTTCGCTGTGACTATCAAAATTCTTTATAGTGCCAGAAAACCTAGTAGATACATCAGCATTTCGTAGTCTTGCAAATGGCGTTCGAATTGTGACAGATGCCTTTGACATGTCATCAGATGAAATTGTGACGTCAGTCGTTATCTTCTGTTCGTTGATTCCAGCTTCAAAATGACCGTTCATACCATTCATCGGTCCAGTTTTAGAGTATATAATGTACATCGTCTTTGCAGATTCAAATGGAGTTGCAATAGAAATTCTTCCTGAGACATCTGATTTGCTGTCCATTTGTGTCTCAACAATGATCTTTTCTTTTCCGAATGATGCCTGTAAGGTTGCTTTGTTGTTGAATATGACACCCTCGTGTTCAAAAGTTGCTTCCATTTTTGGTACCTTCAATACTTTGATGGAGACAGTTCCGAATGTTTGTCCTCTTTGGCTGAACAAAGTATCAAAATCTAAAATGGTTTGTTTACCATATGTAATGCTTGATGAAGATTTCATTTTCCCCTCATTTTTATGCAAAATTGTAGCTTTTACAGTTTCTGTATATGGTGTCTGTAATGTCAGTTGTCCCTCTACACCACTGAGTGAATTAAATGAGACATCAGCGACACTCTTCTTCTTGTGGAAAAGAACATTTGCTCGTGAACGGAAATTATTTAAGCTTCCACTATGAGTAAAAGAAATATCGGTTTCCTGATAACCGACAATTGGTGTTGACATTTTCATTTCCGCTGACAGTTGACCTACGGTATTGAAATTGATCTGAGCTGAATACTTGTCCTTGTTTGCTGCCAAATCCATTTTTGTGTTGAATTCTGATAGGGAACCCGTGTGAGAGAAGGAACCAGCCATCTTTTCATATTTCTTAAATGGAGTTTTAATGGAAATATCAGCACTTCTCGTTGGTTTGTTTATTAAGATATCTGCAGATATCGTATCTTTCTTGAAGTACGTAATTTCAGCATGAGACTTTATCTTGCTATCTGATGGTTGATGCGACAAAGATGCCTTGACATTTTTGTAGCCAACAAAAGGTGTCTGTGCGGCTAGTAAAATATCAACGGAAGGTTTAATTGCAAATCGTATATCTGCAGCGACCATGTTTTGTTTACCACGAGCTATCTCTGCATGGGATTTAAAATTAGAAAATGATCCTTCGTGTGATACAGCAGCATTCAGTTTCTTCCAACCGGCAACTGGTGTTTCTACACTTGCTTCCCAGTTAAATTTAGACCCTACTGATGTTTTCATGTTAGCCTTGATGACGTCTTTTCCTTTTTTAACATTGGCATCACACTTGAAGCTCTTCCATGTTCCTTCGTGCTTAACATTGGCAATGACTTTCTTATATCCTTTAAATGGAGATACAAATATAAATGTAGCTTTCATTACTTTCGCTAGGCGGAAATTAAAATCAGTACTTATTTTCTGTTTCTTACTGTAGATTAGGTTTATTTTGTTTCTGAAGCTTCTTAGTTTACCCTTATGAGAAAGAGTCAAGGTAATATCTTCAAACAGTGAAGAAGACAATTTCACTGAACCCTGGAGACGTTTTCCAGAAATAAATGCGACATCAGCGGAGGCTGGTTTCATTTTACCGTAAGCATATTCAACATGGGATTTAAGATTCCTCAAGGACCCTGTATGATGGAAAGATGCTTTAAAGTCATCCATGAATGGTGATTTAACTGTCAAAGATCCTTGCATTTTAGCCAGATTTTTAAAGACTACTTCTATTTGATGTGGCTCACCCTTCTTGTATTGTGCTTTAACGAGGGAATTGAATTGTTTTATGCTACCTTTATGACTTATCTCCAAAGATATCTTATCCATAGATGGACATTTGTAAGACACGGAAGTCTTAAAGTTAGCTTTATTAATAAATGATATGTCCAATATGTGTTTCTTGTTGCCCTGGTACTGAAGTTCGCCGTGTGTCTCCATTGAGGGATATTTGCCTTGATGGTAGATTGTCAGACTTACTGGTTTATTGTGTGGGCTTTTGACGGTGATAGAAGCGTCTTTCCTTTCAGCGTTGCTAGCGGAAGTGTCTACAGAATATATATTTCCCTTGGGATATTCGATTCCTACATAAGATGCAATGCCTTTGTCGTCATTTGTGTGTTTTATGGAAGCAGATGCATGCTTCAATTTGGCGAACGGAGTCTGAATTTCTATAGTTGCATCCATGTTATCTAAATGTACTGAGTGACTCGATTTGACACTGATAAACTTAGCTGGAAGGTATTCTATATTAGCAACTGTTCTTGTGGAACCGCTACTTCTTTGACTAGAGACGGCTATCTGACTATATGGAATGACCTTGAATGGGGTTTCAATGCGGAAGTTACCATCGAATCCACCATATGTATTTACGGCACTGGATACCAAGAACTTCTTCGTGATTGGTTTGGCTTCAATGCTGCTTAAAAGAGAGAAAGATCTTAAGTCTCCTTTAGCTTCTATTACTGAGTTAATTGTTTTCATGGATTCATATGGTGTGGCAACAAATGTAGTGAACACAAAAGCATTATCCCAACGGAATCGGTTTTCCAACGATATTTCCTTTCCGTTATCGTATCTGAGTAAGCCTGACGTCATAATTACTTCATCTTGTTTCTTCTGCTTGATATCAACAATAATGTCGTCTGTAAAGGGTGTTGATGTCTTCAGGAAACCTGTTGGGTACCCAGACGTCAGGTCGACAATACCGTTAACGGCTATTCTCTTCTTATCCATTTTCAAACTGACTGACGCCTCTTTCTTGACATCAGATTTATAGTTGATGTCAGCAGCGTATTTTGTTCCTTTAGGACAAGTGTAAGTTATCCCAGAGTCTATGGCATTATTTCGAGTTGAATGTTTCAATGATACTGACATTGTTCGTATGTCATTGAAGGGAGTATTTATGTCTAAACTGCCTTCAACGTGATTATTCTGCACCATGTAGTTTGATTTTATGATTATTTCTTTCTTTGGGAGATATTCAATAGACAGATCTGATGATGTCATTCTAGTTGAGGGTTTAGAAACCAAAATTATTTGACTGTATGGTATTTGTTGGAATGGCGTTTCCAAACGAATTTTCCCATTTAGTCCATTGACAGAGTTCCATTCGGATGTCAACTGGATTCGTCTAAAAATAGGTTCAATTTCTATTCTTGCGACTGTTTTGAAAGCGGTTATACCTCCATCTAAACTGAGTAGTGTTTCAAATTTCCTGACAGACTCTATTGGTGTTACGACTGATATCTTGATAATTTTGTTGTTGTCCCATCTGAATCTATTTTCCATGGCCATAATTTCAGTTTTTCCATACTCAATAGAAGATGAAATGATCTGTTCTCCATCAACTGCTCGGTCAATACTTAATACAATAGGTTTGGTAAATGGAGATTTAATTTTCAGTTTACCATTTTGACTGTTCTGCTGACGATCATAGGTTCCGCTGACATCGATTTCATTATTATTCATCTTCATATTAATTTGACCTGACATTGGAAAACGGGCATATTCAGATATAATTGAAGTTTCAAAAGCGAATTCAGACATTTTAAAAGACTGTTTTGACATTACCTTGCCAACTTCTCTCTTGTAGTCTACCTGCCCAGACATCATTACGTTATCATTAATAGATAAGGTCGCTGAACTGTCTATTAGTGATGGTCTGTGTTGATGGTCAACACGCAGAACGATATTATCCATAAATGGAGATTTAATCTTTAGGTTAAAAGATATTCCGCCTTCGCTCAACGTGATGGCTTGTCTTCCATTTACGTCAAATTCATAAGATTTGCCATCGATATTAGATTGTATTTTAGAAGTGAGTTCATTTTTGGAAATGCTGTGGTCCCAATTTGCATCATATTTGTTATTTGGTACAATGACGACAATCTTTCCTTTATTCTTCAGCCCTTTTTTCGAAAATCTGTGATTCATTTGACCTTCATACTGGTATACTTTGCCATTATGCTCCACTACTAAAGCGTTCTGGTATTTGTTGTCAGTGGTTTTGTGGTGGAAGCTTACAAACGCTGTTTTCAAGCTAGATAATGACGATTTTACACTCATTACACCGTTTACATCCCGGTTTTCGGTTGTGCCATCATTACTGTATTTGATATCAACTTGCATTTTCTCGTTGTTGAGTTCAGTTTTCAACATACTTTTTAGCTTTCCGGTGTAATCATGATCTACTTCTACTGAGGACATTCTGAAGCCATCAAAGGGTGTTTTTACTGTAACTATTCCGTGAAATTTATTTGCATTGAATGGTTTGTCCAAATTTACTAATACTCCAATTTTGTTTGATTTCTGCCAAGTGATATCAATTGTGTTCTGGTATTGTTTGGTAGTTGACATCATATCAAAATTCAGTTGTACTAAGCCAGATGTCGGTGTCTGCATTCTAAGGGTTCCAGCTTTACCATTATCTTTGTTGTTTAGATTTAGATCTAATGCTACTTTTTCTTTCCCTGCCACTAAGACATCAAAATGGCCCATGGTATTTTTATCAACAATGTGATTATAACTTGACAAGACACTAGTGATTGGGTTGACAAATTCTAGTCTTGCATTAATATCCATGGAGTTTTTGTATGTCAAATCCCCTACAAGTTTAAGTCTTTTGGATTCATCTTTATCAGCATCCCACTTAACATCAAATTTTCCTGAATACTGAGGATGGTTTTTCATCGCTTCAATGTCAGCTGTTACACGTCTGCTGTTAACCTTCACATTCCCAGACATCTTGACCATAACCTTCGGTTTGTATTGGGAAGTAAATGCCATTACATATGATTTTCCTATCTGTGCTCCAAGTCTGAAATCACGAGGGCTCCCGTTTATCTGACCGGCAATGGTAAATGGTTTTCTTCCTGGAAGTGTTATATCATTGGATATTTCGTATTCAATATTTGACATGCTCTTAATGGTGGATTTTATCGTTGTTCTTTGTTTACCAATAGTGGAAGCGAAGTCGTTGGTAAATTTTTGCTTGTTTTGCTGGATAAAGACATTTGACATGGAGAGGGTTTTCTCATTCCATGAGAGGGAAAGTCCACCAGAAACGGATGTCAATTTCTTTGTTTTATCTTTCAAAAAGACTGATGTGCTGAAGGTATGTTTCTTTCCAACGGACATTGAAACGCTGGTATCCAGTGCCTTTTTGTTATGGATATGACTTCCTTTTATCTTCAAGTCTGTTTCCTAAAAAACAGAGCGTTTGATTTCATATAAACATTGGTCATCAAGAAAGTTCTGACCTGCATATGAAATATCTTATTCATTCCTAAATGTAAATTCACTTACAGACTATACTGATATAATATTATGTTAATCTATGGCTCTATGAAAAAGTGATATACTGTAAATGAAACATAGAATAGTACCTTTACACTGCAAATTATTGTAATAGCTTACTGATTCAGGATGCTTCAGTTGTGCACTGATTCTGACATCACTTGCCCGCCATGCTAACTGGTGTTTTACTGTCGATGAAAAGCTTATCATTTTGTTTAGATCTTTCTTATTCGCACCATACTGGGCATTGAAGTTGGTTGTTGTCAGTTTAGCGTTTGTCAAAAAATTCATTCCGACATTAAGGTTCAAATGTGACTTCTTCTTGAAATTCAAAACACTGTAAAGAAATACCAAAAGCTCTAGAATATATGTATCTCAACTTAACATGTTAGACAAAAAGTTAAATTACATTATATGAACAAATTGTCTGATCAATTAAGATGATGGCTCAATATTTATATGTGATAGTTAAACTATTCAAGCTGGCTTTGTATAATTTCTGACTATGTTTGACTTAAAGATACTCTAGTAAATCAAATAATAACTCTCACCCATTTCCCTTGACCGAAGTTGCTTTCTTTGTTGATTTCATGATGACCTTTGTGTTCATGGTAACCTTATCACGTGCTACACGTGGTATGATATAATCAAACGTGGTTCTGGTAATGATAGATATAGGTTTAATCATAACATTGGATCTGCCTTTAGTTGTCAGAATTGGAGATTGAATGTTCATTTTTGCCTGATAACGGGCTTGCTTTGCGTTTCCTGTATCTCTTACTTGAACTGAAAACAAAAATTTTAATTGAAAATGACTCCCACAAACATTGAAGGTTTGGCTCTAGTTTAACCATTCGCTACAATTTCCCGATTGAAAATGTCTCCAACATGTCAACAATATAACATAACTTTTGTATTACTCTGTTTTGTTTCGTCTTTTAGATTTTGACGTTTCCTCTAGGGTCACCATCTTTTTATATCGCCTACGCAGATCAGTAAACAACATTTGAAATGTTAAGTATATGTAGGTTCCCAAATAAATTCATATAAAATTCTGTTATCCATACACAATCAAGTTAAATCCCAACAAGTTCACGTATCATAAGAAATCACATTATATTTTCTAACATGAAAGGGTAAAATGCATATAATAGAACAATAAAATTGAGAATGGAAATGGGGAATGTGTCAAAGAGACAATAATCCGACCAAAGAGCAGAAAACAACCGAAGGCCACCAATGGGTCTCCTACACAGCGAGAAAATCCCCACCCGAGGCGGGCTTCAGCTGGCCCCTAAACAAAAATGTGTACTAGTTCAATGAAAATGGGCGTCACACTAAACTCCAAAACATATAAATGAACTAAAATTTAAAAAAACATCCAAGACTAACAAAGGCAAAAGGCTCCTGACTTCGGACAGGCGCAAAAATGCGGCGGGGTTAAATATGTTTTGTGAGATCTCAACCATCCCGTATACCTCTAGCAAAGGTAGAATAAATAAACACACAGCAATACGCACAGTAAAACTCAGTTTAAAAGATGTCCGAGTCCGATGTCAGAATAGGTAACAAAAGAAACTAAGCAAAATGACAATGATACATACATTAACAAAGGACTACTAGCAGTTACTGACATGCCAGCTCAAGACCCAAATTAAACTGACTGAAAGATTATTTCTTCATCATATGAAAATCATGCACAATCCCTCCAGTTAGAGGGTTTAGTATCATACCATCATAAAATATATGAGAACAACATTACCCGTATCATTCCAACAACAGGCAAATCTACTTACCAAAATATTTCATTGGAGAACGTGTCAATCCAGTTACGGTCATGTCAACCTTCATAGCTTTCTTATATTTGATTTCCACAGAGCCACCAAGACCCATCAACAATTTTGTTGGGGTTTTTACTGAGATAAATGGACTGTATCTCAAAGATTTCTTAGTTACTAGTTTCTGCATTCTGGTTTCGAAGCTATACTCTTGTTTTTTGTCCATTGTCAAACTGCCTTTAAGTGATCTGATAACCTTCTTGTTAAGCATTGTTACTACAAATAAAAACGCCACAACCCATATAATTAAACTTTTCTGGTTTATAGAATCATGTAATGGTACACAATTTGGAAATAATTCTATGTCAAGAATGAACAAACCAAAAGTTTGATTTAACCATTCATTGGTTAAATCAAACTTTTGGTTTGATCATTCTGAATCTTTAAACATTGAAACAGTGACAGGAACAATTTCAGTAAAATCAAGTATAAGGTGATTGTTTGCATTTAAGGTATATAAAACCAAGTGATTTCATGTTAGGAGGTAAATCTTAAAATCTTGTGTGCTTATTTGTTTTGATTTATTATATATTTATATTGACATTCTTTGCAGAGGGAGATGGCTTTGTCTATTATTATCAACACTTTAGATCGTATGGCATAATCATCAACAAACTTGGACAGTATCACATCTTTGAAAGAAAACTCACATCTCATGTTGATTGGTTGTTTTGAAACTCCAAGAACGGTAAATGCAGAATCCAAAGTTTTGCCCGCTAAATATTCAATAGTTCCATCAAGTTTGATGTTGTCCTTCTTTGGTATGACTATTTCTACAGATGGTGTATATACCATTGTAGAAGATTTCTTCTTACTAGCTAAAGCTGCATTGACTGAGTACTCTGATTGGTCAATAAGTAATTTACCATTTACTTGTCTTTGTTGTGTATTGACATCTCCTATAAAATACATTAGTGTTTGCTTTTCTATTTGACAGATTAATACTTAAAAAGAAATTCTATTCTTATTTGTATGATAAATAAGAAAAGTACCGAACTCCAAGGTAAATTTAAAAAGGGGGACGTCCATAAAACCAAAATCGTGGTTATTCAAGGTTCCAAACTTTAAAAGTAATAATGATTTATATTTGACAAAAAAAATTGATAGCATTGTCACTTGCAAATAACATTGGAAGTGTTAAAAAGTATTGCATAACTCTGAATATATTAAAAGTTACCGTTGAAAGTGGCCTTTTTCCATGGTGACAGCATCAGCATTTCAATATCATGCTTCTTCATATTCAAATTAAAACCAAGTCTCATTTCTCTATCGACCTTTGACCCTGGTGTGTTTAATCCTATATTGGCAGTCACTACAGATTTTGTCTAAAATATATTATAATAATAAAACCAGTATATCTCACGTTGGCAAAAGAGTTCAAATTAACCATTTAAACAAAAATAAAAAATAAAAGCAGAAATAATATATTTATATTCTTATATATTCTTGAAGTATGATTGGTGTCACTATTATTAAAAAAACAAAAAAAAAGTATTATTACCTAAATGAAAAGATGGGGATTACATCTCTAGGCCAACAATAAATCCATAATTTTTTAACATAAGTCTAAAGCAAAGAGCTAAAACTGCAAATCAGAGATGATTACCTTTCCGAATTTATACTCCATTTTGTAACTAGTATGACTGTCTCTCTTGTACAGTGTAACATCTGCTGTCAATGGTCCAGTTAAAGGGAAATATGGAGAATCAGCCTTTAAAGAAGCATTAGGATAGGAAATTTCACCACAGAGTTCAAGTCCAGTCACGTGTGAAAGTTTATCGCCAGTGCATAGTTTCTTTCTTTGTCTGTTTTGTGTTATCATCTTTTGTTCACGGGTCTCATCACGATGAACGGTAAAGAATGAAGTTCTGAAAAAAGAGTTAAACATTAAGATTTTACAAGACAAAAACTGAGAAGGGTTTATATGTTACAAAATTAACATATATATGGATATGGATAAGTTACTGCTTTCTCTTTTCTTCTTTCAAACACGGTTTACTTTTCCAGAAATGCAAATTTAAAAGTACAAAAGAAGAACTAAACAGTCAATGATTCTAAAATGCATGCTGTTTGTGTATGCTAATAAGTATTTTAAGGTTGTCATTCGAGTGAAGTTTACCTTTATTTCACCTCGCACTTGATTCTAAAATAATTGCTTATTCGTGATAAAAAGTAATTACAAAATTAAAAAACAATAACGTACAAAAGTATAAACCTAAAAATATGAGATGAGTACACTATGCCATATGTATTGGAAAAGATTGGCAAACTTAAACCACAGTTTAAAATTTCGATTTCATACTTACTTCGCTTCAAATACTTCTGTCTTAGAATCTGGTGTTTTCCATTCGGCACTAAAGAGTTGTCCACCTTTAAGTTCAAGATGACCTTCAACAGCAGAGGCAGAGTTCACTGAAGATACCATTTTCATTCCAGCTTTAGTTACAAAGGCATCAACAGTCATTAGACTTGTCACCTCCAAAGCAGCACTGAATTAAATAGATATTTATATTGATCAATATAAAAAAATGTACCTCGTAAATATTCATTTCTTAATGATTCGTATGGATATATATCTCCTGAGATCTATATTCTTTTGCAACTGTGTTAACACTAGACCAGTTAGACATCTATGCTTTTACTGTTGAAAGTTAAAGTGTAATAGTTATTACATTATTGGGTAATGAACTGCATTTTTTTGTTAATCTGAATTTTTGTTTTCTTTTAGTAGATAATGTTTATTTATATAATATCATCAATGTTGAGGTATTTGTTGCGAATAATTACGACAAGCGTTGTGTTCGAATGACCAAAGCGAAAGGAAAACATAAAACACAATTCAAACTATTGTTGTCGACTGGTGTGTGCTAATTTGGTTAATGACTTTGCTGATGTTTAAGTTTTTCATTCAATCTGACATTTGACTTTGGTTTAGTTTCATTTTTTCCTCATTAGTACGCTTATTTTTTGTATTGTGTTTTAATTGTTTTAATAGTAAAATTGTGTATCCAAGTATCTAAATAGTACCTTGGTCGAATTTTTCCATCGATGGAAACTGTCATAGGATTTGACTTAATTTGTCTAAGGTCCATTTTACCGGACGCTTGAACGTCAATTGTGGCACTTCCGTCTAAACTGATGTTAAGCGGGAAACCAGACATAGTTGGAATAACAATACTGGTATCCAGAAACATGAAGCTTTGCGTGAAAGAATAATCTTGCTCTTTAGCCAGATTGATGATAAAATCCAGAATGTTGAAGTTTTGTCCTTCAATCAGACTTTTAATATCGTCGGTGTTGATGTACTGTAATTCATTGCCAAATATTCTCAAATACATGCTACCTTTGAACTCTTCCATGGTTGATCCAAACTAGAAAAAGCAACAAAAAAGACTTTAATTGATATTATTCAAAACAAAAAAAAAACAAAAAATTATCAGAGAAAAAGAGTACAAAACAAGTGTTAAGAACTAAATTTCTGGTTGTTTATATAAATTTTGCTTTTTAAACAAAACGAATGAAAAATTAATATTCAACCAAAAACAGGGAATAAAGGAATAACATGAATGGATTTCAAATATAACATGAAAAAAACGGCTACCTTTTTCCAATATTATTTCATTTTTTTTTACCTCCTCATTTAGTTTATCCATTGCTTTGTTGCTAATTCCTTTCACGGATTGTTTGACAACATCCTTTGACTTGCCAAAATATCCTTCAGGTCCAAAGTAGGATTCAAGGAAATACTCTAGTCCTTCTACTCTTCCACCAAGCTCAAACAGGTTGACAGAGTGACCGAAAAGATCGATGGTGAGGTTAGTCATGGCTGATCTTGGAAGGAAAGACTTAGAAGACCAAATGAGATTGCTGTCAATTGCTGCACCTGTGTTAATCTTTTCTAGGAAAAATGAAGCTTCATAGTTTCTGGAATACTTCATTTTTTCTAAGTTGAATTCTTTCTTAAGCATGTCATTGGATAAAATTGATTTTATGCTTTGTTTCAGTGGACTTGATGTTTCCATTAGATTTGTAAGGTGAGTCCAGACAAAGGAGCCGACTTGATTTACTTCTTCTGATTCCAGCGTTGTCTGGATTCTGTTGAGGATAGATTTTGAGGGACATGTCATCAATCCTAGGTAAGCAGCAATTCTTATTTCGGAATCCTCATTACGATTTGAGTAAATTGTCATTAACTCGTTTCTCTGAAAGAAAACAAATCCTATGTTGAAGATCTATTTCTTACATGTCAATTTTACTGGGTTCCACTAGTTGTTCACTTGACTTTAGTTTGTCAGATTCCAGTAATAGTATATTCGTTATTTGCCTTGCACACACTGTTTTAGAATATTTGTTTTTTTCTACCCAAAAGAATTGTGAATGTAAAATGATACTCTTTTTATGAAATAAATCAATCATGATATTTAATGACAGTTACACAAAATAACATTCACAATAGTGATCAGGCTGTATAATCTTATTTATTCATCAATAAGATTAAGACAATTTCAAAAATAGTTGAAAAATATAATGTTGGCAATTTAAGTAGTCAAATATTAGTTTTAATTATCAATAGTAACTTATAATGACACGAATAAGAAACATTAAATAAATTTTTAATTACGTTTACATCACATGTCATTCGGCGGAAGGCTTGAGCTGCCGCAAGGCGAACCTCTGTCGGGTTTTCTTTTCTTGTCAAACAGCTGTTTACCATTGTGATACTGCTAGAGAAACCAGCATTACCAAAGGCACGCAAGGCACGGATAATCTGAAACAAAATTTTAAAGATCAATGAATTTTCCTAAATTCAAAACATTTTTGCCCAATACTGACAATATTATTCAAAAGCGAATTATCCGATGAACAATGAAAACTTTTTTAAGAATGAATGAAAATGCTTACGTTGTTAACATTGTTCTTGTCTGCATAGCATCCAACACCAATCTTGTCTTCTAAGCTGGCAACAAGGTTGACCAAATCAATGTCGTTAGCACAGGAAGATGTTTTACAGTAGGTGTATACCAGTGATGAAACTGCAAGCATGGCTTGTCCGTTCTTTGTATTAGTCAATAAAGGCTATAACGAAAAGCATGAATACCATATATTAAGATGAAACGTATGCATACATTTAAATATTTGAAAAAACGTCGCTGTCCATACGTATATAGATATTTACATATTTCAAAGAACCGTCACTATCTATACGTATACATATATTTACATATTTGAAAGGACGTCACTATATCTATACGTATACATATATTTGCATGTTTGAAAGAACCGTTACGTTCTAACGTTTCGAAAACCAAATCATTTCAGTAAATGTTTAAGACAAACGTTTCATTTCAAGTTTATATTTAAAGAGCTATATATACCTTCAGTTCCAATAGCATGTCTTTTGTTGGATGTTGAATAAAAGATAGACTTGTCATCCACATGTCAGCTTCAGCTCCGGTGACTTCATCGGTATTTATCAAATTTGCCATCATTCTCAAAGAAGCTTTAGTTCCGACCACTGGAATGGCGTCAAGGAAGAATTTCCTGTTAATTATGGAAAATTGTACTACACTATCAACATAAAAGCAAGCAAATAGTCATACATTTATGCCTTTTTACACTTACGGTATCAATTATTTGGAGCTCTTAAATATATTGGCATGGTCACTCTACAAAGTATCGAAAAAAGATATATTTTCTTTATTATTCTGATCGAATTACCGGTGCCTTATTTTAAATTATATTTGATATGAAATTATGTGATAAAAGAACTCTAATACGGTTAACCGGCATGTACAATGCCTCAAATAAAAACACAGCTTTTCAACCTATGGGCAGATACAGAAAATCTGTATTGGACCGGTCTTATATAGGAAAATCACTTTCTGTTTTGTACGATGAAAGCTTCATCAAACTTTGGCCCTATATTGGTGCATTTTGTATACATTTCAAACAAAATTACACGAAAAAGTTTTAATTGTTCCGTGTTTTGCCTCCATTAGAAACATAAAAATGAATAGCATTTCTGTGTGGCATTTTCGAATAACATCATTGTTTTGTTCACGTCAACCAAAAACTACGAACAAAAACGCAGAAGTTAAGAATGAATATATATATATATATATATGACTTATATCTTTAAGCATTCGTGAAATCTTGTACAGTACTGATACCTTAAATGGCAAATACCGTAACAAAAATATAGTTGTTTCATATTATACATACTTGACTTTAGGATTCTTTGAACAGACTTTTCCCGAATGTACTTTCGTGTGGACACTATCCATGCTATCGCTATCCAAAGTTTTCATAAGTCGGACAAGCTCAGTAAACTGTTTGGCTGTGGATACTTTCACGGCATCTTTAGATAATTCGCAAAATTCTGTCAGTTTGTTCAGAACCTCCTTCTGTGCGTTTTCAGAATTGGTGTTGTCAAAAGCATGCTCAAATGCCAATGTTGTTCTCTTTTCAGTAGACACTAAATTAAAGACAAGTTACTAAGTTAAAAATTTATTTATATATAGTTTGAACGTAAATGAAATAAACAATTTATAAATGTCTTGCGATCGTTCGCTTTTCTAGTCTGACCTTAATCAGGAATGCCCAAACTTAAACATTTAGAAGCCAGGGGTGTGTGATTACGCTACAGCGTAATGAGCTATATCACTAAAAAGGACCTTAACAGAGTAGCCATATTTATTATATACTTAGTAGTAAATACAGATAAATTGTATGTGTAATACAATCATTGGCAAGCGTGCTGTATCAGACACCCGTGATGATATCGATATCAGCACAGTTGCAAAGGCTTTATCACACCTTTAATCTGCATGACGTTACGTCATCGATTGCATTCACTGTTGCAAAGGCTTTATCAAATCCCTAATCTGTATGACGTCATTTCAAATCTTATCTGTATGACGTCATGTCACATAAAAAACATCTACGTGAGGTATATGTATATAATAAAGTGTATATGATATGGCATTTTCAATATCACACACCGTATCAACCCTCAACCAATATAATCCCTCGAGCAGAGCTCTTGGGATTATATTGGTGTCTCGGGTTGATACGGATGTGATATTGAAAAAGCCATATGATATCCTCTATTTATTTAAGGTCAACTTTGTCTTAACGTAGTTAACATGCCATGAATTAAAAGTATAAACTCTAGTATTTAATTTTTCCTTACTATAATATTATTGTTAAAAAAAGATCTTTGAACGTTAATATTTGGAAGCTGTTTGCAGACTATAAGTCCTAAACGAGAGCCGAATACCAAAACTTGTCTCAGGTGCTCCAGAAGGGTAAGCAGATCCTGCTAATTGTTCTTTTGATTCACGATGCATATATGAATAGTTTCTGTTGTTTCAATTTTACCTTTTGTAGATCTGCTTTGACTCTCCGAAATATATTTCAAAGTCTGTTTTGTTTCTGTAACAGCTCCACTGGATTCCCTGGAGAATGGTCGGAGAACATGTTGTTCCTCACAACTGCTGCTCTGAAGGATACCAGTTTTACTGATTCCCTGCTGACATTCGTGTGTGCTTTTAACCAATGGCATTGACTGGATTTCCTAAAACGGAAAAAAGGTTGTGAAAACTGTTTAAGCAATACACAATCCTTGGTTTTATATATTATTCGTTAAACATGTTACAGAATTACTATTGTTATAATTATCTATTGAATATAAAATTATAACTTACTGATGGTACCCTATATGGTGTTCCTTGCATGGCCGTTTTGTAACCATGACGATCTACACATCCTAATGTGTCTTTTGTCTTTTTAATTGTCATTGTGTACCACCCATTGGAAGCCAAAGAGTAATTTACATCACAACTTCCGGTTACATCCATCTGTAAAGTATTTCACAATTTTGTTTATTTAAAAACATACAGTAAATCTTGAAAAATAACAAAAGTTAGTAGTTCTGGTTTTATGAAATCATTTTTAATTTTTAAAATAACGATATGACCCGCACGAATAATGTTATCTTTGTACTTTTGTTTAAAAGCTTTTTGTAGCTTGCCAAAAGTCCAGTCTTTCATTGGATTTTGAAAGGTTGTTAGCAATTCGACCGGATCTTATCAGTTTAGAATAAAGGTGATAGAAAAATGAATCAGGAAAATCAATTACACAAAGCTATGGATGCATGGAGAGATTTACCCAATCGACGCACCTAGTTTCTCTGGGTTTAGAGTTCTTGCGATTATCTCTAGTTTTCCACTTGGTTTGTGTTTTCATAATGGAGTTACGAGTTCTGAACATCGGTTAACCGTTGCTGTATCTGATATAGCATTTCGGAGCTTCCCAAAAGTTGTTATTTCTTTCAGTGATCATTGGTAGAAAGTTTTCTTATTGGCCATTTGACCGAATTTTATTGATTTTAAAATGTTAAAAAATAAGGAATCTTAAATCTTGAAATTTTATGTCTTATTTTATTGTAGAGCATCATAACATAGTTATTAAAAGGTTTAGACATTATAAACCGTTCCATTACGACACCCAACAGTTTGAATTCCTACGAAAGCGAAATAATTCTGCAAATAGTTTATCTTTACATAATTTTAGTGCAACTTATTGGAAATATAAGTCATGAAGGTTATTTTACGGATTTAATTGGTGTGTAAGCTCAGCCTTTTACTCACAAACTTAACTTAAAAGTCTTTTGTTCGGACTTTAAGTCTTAAAGACTAAGACTTAAAGTCATTAACGCGAGTGGGGTAGAAACTTGCAATGAAAATACATTTGAAAAGCCGATAGATTTCGGACATATTATAGCGATTTGAATATCAATCAAACCCCCTTTAAAAAAATTAACCTGTTACCAACAGATTATACTACAATATTTTACCTCTTTGGTTTTCTGTTCTTGACTGAAGTCATCCATAGAGTTCTGGAAAGCAGAGATGATTGCACGTTTGATATTAAGAGCCCATGTCTGTTCGTCGTTATAATGGCATAGTTCATCAACACGGCCATCTTGGAAGGAGAACATCAATGGATTCTGTTCAAGACTTTTCTTGAATTCGCCAGTGACGTCGGCATTGCGTTTGGTGTTTGGTGATTTAGGGTCTGATTCAGTAAGTACAACATCAGAAACCTGAAAATTGATAGAGGTGATCATATTAATTCATTTAAATTCTGAATGTTAAAATTTATCAATATGAATTCGATCTAACGACACAATATTCTTAATAAATTAATGACACAATGTAAACAGTTAATGGCAACAACAAAATTTATGACATTTAGTCATTTGAAAAGTTATTCCGCGTTCACACTGCCCATGTGAAACATGCTTTGTGTACACAAGTAGTATTGTTTAAATCTTTAAAATAAAAACTAATAAATTATTTGACATGAATTCAATTCTTTATTAAAAAGTTAATTAATAGCTGCAAGTGTTTCAGAAATTAACGCAGTATTTATTGATAATTAATTTCAATTAAACTTGTTTAAGCCTCTGTGTGAACACGACGTTTAGATTAACTTTGAGGATTACCTTAAGCACTAGATCGCATTTTGATTGAACCTCGATGTGAACTTTTGCAGCCATGTCGATTTCCGCTTTATCTTCGGAAGCCCCTTGTATTGTCGTTGACACCTTTGATGTGTACTCATAGTCGTATGTCTTTCCGGTTTCGTATCCAAATTTTTTCGTTTCTGCAAAATAAAATAATGTCTTTTAAAAACCTCCTGTGTGTGACACTAGTTTCGCATTTAAATACGATGATAATCAGAAGTTATTGGGAAAGGCATTTGATTAAAAAGAAAGCAGCTTAATTTTCGTTACTTTAATTGAGCAGGGAAATATTTGTTTGGCTGCACATGAGACAAATATCTAGGAAATAAAGAATCCACTTTTATGTCGAAATGAATGCGGTTTTCTTCTTCTGGGCAACTGCTTTAAAATTTGCATAGCTTGATAATTCAATGCAATTTATGTTAATATTCCGCTGGATTTCAAGTAACAAAATGTGAAACAAATGACTTACCTGTACATTGTCTTGCGCATGTAGAAGTCTGTGATTTAGGCAGTTTAGCTGAAAATGAATATCATAGATAAGTATAAAAATAAGAAGATGTAGTTTAATTACCAATTAGAAACAACTCTCCACCAGAGAAATTGAACTTTTCTGGGTGAACAATTGTAATTGCCTCTATCTACTTTCGTACATTATTTATTTATGTAATTGTATTGAAATATGTATAATTATCTCTATACCTTTGAAATTTGGTTTGTGAGAAAATAAAAAAATATATATAGAGACCAAATGACGTAGAAGTTAACGACTAGTTCATCGTAAGGATTTGAACAATAATCAAAATCCATACCTCATACTATTATAAAAGGCCCCGAAATGACAAAAGTAAAACAATTCAAACGAGAAAACTTACGGCCTGATTTATGTACAGAACAATAAAAGAAAAACAAATATGATATACAGCAACAGTCATATTCACTGAATCAGGTTTTGTAAACAATTTTTACAACAATACGGTTAATTATTAGCATTTTCATATTATCATTCTTTATTACGAAATACACATGTGTGTTTGAATAATAAGTTATTTATTTTCATCTTAACTTATTTGAATTAAAAGAGCTTAGCATATGACAAACCTGCTTGATTTAGTACCACAAGGGCACATAATATAAGTAACTTTTGCCCCATAATAGAGCTTGTGTAATGTCTCGTTTCACTAATTGAAGTTTTCTCATTTGACTGTGTCTTTTATACTAAATATGTGATAACAAGTTGCTGACAAACATTAGGGTGCAGGGTAAATTCCTCGATAGTAGATCTATAATTAATTATTATCTGTACTTTGTTAGGTTCATTAAAAGTTATCAATCATATCTTTCATAATCGTAGGTCAAACATCGATAGAAAGTTTAAATATGATATTGCACAATCATTCTCAATTCACATCAAATTTCATTATTTGAAAATAAAATTTGTTTACAAGTTATAAAATTAGTTTTTGAACTATAATGTTTAGTTTAATGTTTTCAAAATAATAAAAAAAAATAGCTTCATTTGAATTAGAGTGCAATGTTACAGCGAAAACTTATTTTAAAGAGAATTAATATCAAGTGACGTGATTTTAACTTTCTGTTAATAGTCTTTTAGTGACAATAATCTGATTTTCATTGAACACAGATAATTTCTTCAAGATTGTTCCAGATCCCTTGAGGCTTAAGTGACAAAATTGCCTATATCTTATATTTTTTCAAAGCTTTCAACCGGGATCATATTTTTCACCTTTAAGCGAACTTTGTTTTTCTTCTACTGTTCTAACTCGGAAAACAGCGTACCTGTCTTTCATTGATAAAAAGTTCAATAAAAAGTTAACAAGATTAATTGTCTGTTTGTCAGTTTTACATGCTTTGTCAAAAACGAAATTAAATGAAATGTTTCAATTAGATCTTATATGAATTTGGCGTGTTGAAATATATACAGAATGTACGTTTAACTGATTAAAATGAATATGAAAATTATTTTTAAGATTCATATTTCCACAAAATCTAGTACGTACAGTTTTCTTAAAACTGATATGCGAACGCAAGACAAATCTACTGTTTATTGAATGTAGTAAATGTGTCATCAAATTTGTTTTTCTTGTATAAACCTCTAAGAGTTCTCGGTGACAAAGTACTATCAACATTAAAATATGCAAAGTATTGTCGGGTTGAAGAAACACAATTGTAAAAAATGTGAAAACATTTCAAAGAAATAATATCATGCTTCTGATGGGAATTTAGGGGCTAAAACTTTGATATTGCGATATGTATTGTAACTGCCAGCCAGGCTACAACAAAAAAAATTTTTTTTTTTTTTCATTTATTAGTAATTTCACAATTCACTTTAATATAACTAAAGGAGTTTTTCACTGATATAAAGTCATACAAAAAAAATAAATTAAAAATAAATACAAAAATGAATAAACCTAGAGGGTCTACTGAGACTGTGACGCTCACCTATCTAGGTCTATGTGCATCTTCCACAATAGATACTTATGAAAAGTGTGGAATAGAACAGAATTAATGGCAAACATTTATTTTTTGTTGATCTTGTATTGCTGATCATTTTTGTGTTTACTGTTTCTCTCTATCTTCTTTAGTTTTTGCCCAAAACACCAAAAAAGAAAAAATCGTCCTTTTAGGGCAATACCTCCTATAAAGAGTCTACTAACGTTCGATACAAATTTTGACTTATTCGTCTTGGTGATATTGTTGCTCATTGAAGTGTATATCTATCTTTAATAATTTTCAAGATAATAAGTAAAAACGCAAAAAGATTGCAAAAATTGTCATTTTAAAAAAACTCCATGAGAAGTCAACTGACTGTTTTCGCCATGTTGACTTAATTTTATGAGTGGATTTTAATTTGCTGATCATTTTTGCTATTTAAGGTGTCTATATATCTTTTCTAGTTTTGAAGGGGATGATAGGCAAAAACCTAAAAATTTATATAAATCTTATCATTTTTGCTTTTAAAGTGTCTATCTATATGTATCTGTTATAGTCTTCAAGATAGAAGACAAAACACTAAAAACGGGTAAAATTCGTCATTAAAGACCAATAACTCAAATAAGGAGTCGACTGACGATTTCGGTCGTTTTACTTATTTGTAGCTCTTGTTTTGCTGATCATTTTTGCTCATTTAAATTTCTATCTATCTATCATATTTTTTTTTAAATTAGGCAAAAACGCAAGATATAGGTAAACTTGTCATTTAAAGGAAATAACTGCGGTATGGAGTCGTCGGACGATTTCTGCCAAGTTGATTAATTTGCCGATCTTGTCTTGATGGTTATTTTTGCTGTTCTAAGTTTCTCTCTATATATTATAGTTTTCAAAATAATGAGGCAAAAATGAAGAAAAAAAATGTAAAATCCGTCATTTAATTGCAATTGCTCTCATGAGAGAATGTCTGACAGTTTTTATGTAAATTATCGATAAGTAGATCTCACCATTTTGAACATGTTTACTGCAGACAGATTTTCTGTATTCATAGCGGTTTACAAAATAATAGACAAAACTTCCATTTTACCCCTATATTCAATTTTTAGCCATTTCGGTCATGTTTGTTGGTCGGGTAATCGGACACATTTTTTTTTATTAGACACCCAAATGATGATTGTGGCAAATTTTGGTTAAGTTTGGCCAAGTAGTTTCAGAGGAAAATATATTTTGCAAAAGTTAACGGACGACGACAGACGACGACAGACGACGGACAAAAGACGACAGATGACGGACGACGAACGCCAAGTGATGAAAAAAACTCACTTGGCATTATGGGCCAGATGAGCCAAAATATTAATGAAAAGTGAATTTCAAAGAAGTTCTTATACAAATTAGAAAACTTATCTTCTTGATTGCTTCAACTGCATTATGTCTTTATTGTTCGTTGTATAAATTAAAAAATACATTGACGACAGAAAAAGGTGTTTAAAGTATTAACGTCTAAACATTGTAATGATCTCTGTACATGACCGAAGTAAGAAAACATTTAAGAATATGACATGTTTCAAGTAACAGACGTCTTAAACATGCATGAAATATTTGCAACTGGACATTAAGTAAGCATCGATCAATCAATTAAGTAACAGATTATTGACATGTTGCAGTTATACGTTTCTTAAATTCTCAGTTGATACAATTAGAAATTATTATGAGACCAAGGTCCCAAGTACCTCAGATAGATATCTTATTCTTTTGGTCATAAAGCTCCTTGTTATACAATGTGTCTTTTTGGGGTTTCTAAAGTCTTGATAAGTGGTATATACACACAGAGTATATAAAGCTTCTGAAAATTAGTACAAACTATAGAAGAACAACATACTAACAAGGTGTTTAGAAATACAAATACAAGTTAACTAGACATCCAGTGCTCTTCGAGTAAAATTGACGGTTTGCCTCAAGAAAATTGTATTGTTTACTTTTCAACAGCATTCATTGTATTCGTTAGATGCAATTTCATCGGTATATTTTTATCATATCTAACATTATCGTTTTCATATCTAAAATAAACAGAAGTTTGAACACTTTACGAAGTAATCTGACAGAGCAATTCACACTTGATTAAACATTTTACGAATGAAAGGAAATGTGAGATATACGTCAATGAGATAACAACCCAACGACTTCAAAAAAATATAAAGTAAAAAGAATCACTATAAAAGGGTTTGAACGGGGTAAACAGAATAAAGGATAATGGGGTCGAGTTTACTAATAAATGGACCCACATAATTAAGAATAGAGATAAAATAGGGCCAAAACATAAAGCAGAGAAAATAATGTAGTGCTAAAATAAAAGGAATAGATAATTATGGGCGAGAAATATGAAGAATAGAGAAAAATGACCTAACAAATTACTGAAATGAATGACTCCCCATCCAGACCCTAATATAAAGTGTTCAGCAATAGAACATTGTCTATATGATATGTCAATCTCCCAATCATCCACAGTCTGGAAAAAATTGTGAATAAAAACAGGAACTATCAAAGACAGGCCTTCAATACCTAATTGAAAAAAAGATTTATTTGCGTCATATTTGAAAAAATTTTCTTGTCGAATACTCTATTAATTTGATAAAAAAAATTGTTCATAAAATATTTTTTTAAATTTATACATCACACTTTTCACCGCTAAAGATTCTTACCAATAATCATAAGTTTGTAACTACCTAACTAGTGTTCTACAGTCAGTTGTTTGAAAATGGTTTGATAGTTACAACTGTTTGATGGTAGTGTTTTTGTATCACGAAAACACCAAAGAACAAAAAGACAAACTATTTATCAAAACGTGAAGATTGTACTTTTTATTTATTACCATTTGTAAAATATCTTTTAAGAAAGGACTGAACTGAATTGACCAGTCTGACTAAAACCACCCGACTATCCCATTAAAATGCAAAACCAACAAAAGAAATAATATACTATACGAAGCAAAAGAAGTTATAATCTTAATAAAATATATTTTCAAAAAAAAAATCACGTTTTTCAAAAAATATTTCCAAAAAAAAAATCATTTTTTTTCAAATCAGTAGAAAACTAATATCTTGCTATTCAAGTCTCACTTGTACTGTTCACCATCTTAAAATAGGAAACCAGCCAAAGGTACAAAAAAAACTCGACCCAAATTTAACTCAGAATAAAAAAGTTAATTCGGTCTATAGAGGCAATTCGGACAGTCTATAGAGACAATTCGGACTGTCTATAGAGACAATTCGGACAGTCTATAGACACAACTCGGGCTGTCAATTGAGACAACTCAGTCCGTCAATAGAGAAAACTCAGTTCATTCGACATTCAACAAGGAGCAAAACCCATATACTAAATGGTAAAGGTTCCGACATGTCAAAATGAGAAAAAAATGACTGTGGCTTCCTGATTTATGCTAAACCAAAAACCATATTGCAGACAGCATTAAACGACAAAATAGCAGGGTACATATGCTGAGGTTAGACATAATTCTTAGCGCTAACCCTTCTTTGAACTCTAGACAGTGGTGTAAACAAAAAATAAGAACAAGCTGTACAAATCAGCTGGGATGAACTTGACTAATAAGATCGAAACACACAAAGTACCGACCTGAGAGTATTACAAGTTCATAGAACCCCAACATATCAATTGGAACCATAACCTATAAAATAGTTATGGATTCCAATGAGGACTACGCTAGAGGATCGGCTAAACAAGAAGAAGTTGAACTGGACACATTGTCAGAATGTGTCAAAACAATCAGGTCTCTGATAAAACGTCGAATTCACAAGTTGAAAAACTGTGTGAATGATCGACCAAAGTCAGTTTTCAGAGACAAAGAAGCTGTGAAATGTTTGTTATCTCTTCACGATAAATATGTTGTTGTTCCTGCGGACAAATTTCAAATAATATCTGTATGTAAATCGTACTAGTACGTGTCTTGTAAAAGAATTAGGCATGAATGAGCACTCAGGTATTAACCATATGTGGATTCTAAAAAAACTCTAAAGAACTTCTTGATAATTTTAAATCTCGATCTTTCTCTGAAATTAATTCTACAAAACTTTTGATTTTTCAAACCTGTATATCACCATTCCTCATGTGAAATTGAAAATTTGGTCTAGAAAAAAATAATCCACAATGCTTTTCAATATAAGAATGAATGCATACGCTATAAATTTATTGCTTTGGGATACTATACGGCATATTTTGTTTATAGTGAACAAAAAGGTAAAACATGCTACTTTAAACAAATCTAACATAAACAGCAGTAGTTGTTCTTTTCTAGATTTAGACATTTCAATTTCTAAAGGGAAACTCCATACTAAAGTTTACGACAAAAGAGACGATTTTTCATTCCCTATTGTTAATTTTCCTTTCCTAGACGGTGATGTTCCTTTGGCTCTATCATACGGTGTTTATATGCCCCAACTCGTTCGTTATGCCCGTGTGTGTAGTGATGTCATAGATTTTAACGAACGTAATCAATGTATCACTGGTAAATTATTAAGTTCATAAGTGTTTCTCGTTTCTCGTTTTATTTTATAAAGATTAGACCGTTGGTTTTCCTGTTTGAATCGTTTTACACTAGTCATTTTGGGGCCCTTGATAGCTTGTTGTTCGGTGTGAGCCAAGGTTCCGTGTTGAAGGTCGTACTTTGACCTATAACTGTTAACTTTTTATTCATTTTGAATTGGATTGGAGCTCATACCACATCTTCTTATTTATACATACACAGAAGAACAAGTGATCAGTATGCTGGAGTTTCCTATTGACAACATATTTGTTGAATTTGGAGGTAGACTTTTTCAACAAATTGTCGGCATTCTTCTGGAAACGAACTCTGCACATCTCCTTGCTGACCTCTTCTTATTTTCATACGAGCGGAGTTCCTTCAGACACTTGTCGAAAACATGATCAAAGAAGCTAGATCATTTGATTTCACATTCAGATATATTGATGATGTTCTTTCCATTAACAATCCAAACTTTTCTGATTTGGTTCCATTAATATATCCTCCATAACTAGAATGAAAGAAACAACAGACACAGCTTCCTCTGTCTCATTTTTAGACTTATACATCGAATTGGACAGAAGCGGTCATCTTAGTACCAAAATCTATGACAAATGAGACGATTTTAATTTTTAAATTATAAACTTCCCCACCTTAGCAGCAATATACCAACTTCAGCTGCATATGGGATATACATTTCCCAACTCATTCGGTATAAAAGAGCTTGCAGCTGCTACTCAGACTTTATAAAATGTCACCAGTGTCTGAGCAGAAAGATGATAAGCCAAGGTTATGTCAAAGGACGTCTCGTCCTTTTTCTAAAAAAGTTCATTGAAAGATACCAAGACCTTGTTGATAAATATTCCGTATCAACTTCACAAATAATACATGATGGTCTTGAAGTACTGACGTTGTTTATCATCTTGATTATATGTTATAATGTTCTTTTTATTTGTCCTTGTACATTTTTAACCTTTACTGTTTAGTCCATTTTTGGTAATATACTTTTGACGTGGCTTGGTACTTATAGATCCCGCCATTGTGTTATTGTGCTATGATGAATTTTGTATTCTTGTCTTTTATTTTTGCTTATATATTTTATCTATAGAGTGTCTATATGCCATTTTGTTTTTCTTTGTTGAAATAGTTATTTATTTGTATAGTGATTAAGATTATATTACAAGGTTGACTGCTGTAACCCCAATTTTTGACAGTTTTACCTATTATGTCTGTTTGCTTTGCTCACACATTGTTGTCAATATAATGGAATTCTATGCGACTGTTATACAAGTGAGAGGTTTAGCTAGCTATTAAACCAGGTTTAATCCACCATTTCCTACAATAGGAAATGCCTGTACCAAGTCAGGAATATGACAGTTGTTTTGCATTTGTTTGATGTGCTTGAGCTTTTGATTTCGCCATTTCATAAAGGACTCTCCGTTATGAATATCCATTGGAGTTCGGTTTTTGTTATCTTACTTTTTTTCACAGTTATAGAAAGCACTTTCAACGCCGTTTAAAAACTAACAAATAAATCTTGTTTCCTTGTCTAAAATATCGATTATTACACATGCAAACGGATTAAGCGTATAATGAAACATTCTTTGGTGCTTAACCTCCCCTTCCCCTGGAACTGTGAGTGGTGTGACAACAAAACATAAAAACAAACTTTATAAACAGTAGGATACTCCTGATTCATCAGATCGAGTCCATGCCGGCACAAACATCTGGCTCACGAAAAAAAACGGAAAAAAAAACAATCATAAACCACCGATCGAAGAGCATTCACAGTTACT